AAAGCACGTCCGCTAAATTTGACAGAGCAAAATGTTTCTGTTCTCCGAGCAGATTGCGCCGTGGCTGATTTCACAGAAACAGGGCTCTTTGAAGAAGAAACAAGAGTTGGAAAGACGTTGCTTCCTTTTTCCTCTGAGTAGCTGTGAAGACAGGTACTTCACAAGAAATATACAAAGACAGAGGGGAGCTGACAGTGCTTTGTTATGGCTGAAAATGACATGCTGAAAAAGAAAAGGGGGCTCAAAGCTTGGAGGCAGAGGAGGAAATGCAAAACTGAGAATAATCAGAAGGGAGATTTATTGTACTTATTCTATAGCTGTCACACTTTTCCTTTAACAGAAAGGCAATACAGTTTTAATTAAAGAGGTCAATCATTTCTCAGAGCTTTGACATGAAATGTGATTGCCTTCTCCAAGAACCACACAGACGGTAATTAACAACTTCTTATGTCAGAGTTTTCAGGAAATTTGAAAATATTTAAAGAAGAAACATCGCCTGTTAAGTCACGGTTTCGTGTGATTGCAGTGTGGTAGCTGGTAGACGTAGTGTTAATGTAAATATTTGACTAATTAAAAGAAAAAGTGGCACCGTGGCATCATACTCCATCCCCTCTCTGGATGCGGGCAAAATTTCTTCTTCTCTCCATAAACTGATTGCGACATTTAGTTTTGTTGCAGCACGGCAGTAAAAAGCAATACAGACAACAGCCTTCAAAACACTGGCGCTGTGCATCAGTGAGTGCTGGATGCTTCTGACACTGCAGAGAGGTAATGACAATGCTATAAGGTAGCAGAGCCTCTAGATCTAACACCGCCTCGGGCTGCACATCGCCCATAAAAATTCATAGCTGTGGACCAAGATCAGGAAACTCAACATCATATTAAACATAATGTTTCCTGCACCACTAGAGAGGCTCTGCACTTCATCCTAAACAGTTCACATCCCACGAGCAGCTAGCGGGAAAATAGCCGTGCAGCTTATAATTGTTTGACTAAAGTCTTTAATGGGCCATACCGTGGCGTGATTAGGCTTATTGTCAAAGCAAAGGGCAATTGTGTCATAGCTATCAATCATTTGGAGCTTCTTTCTCTTCATTTCAAGACCTTTATCATGGATTTATTGCCGGTACAAACACAATTATGACTGATGATTGGGAAAGGAGCAGGCTGCGGGGCTCAATACAGTCAGAAGAACCTGTAGTGGCTGCGAGCTACATTTGAGGGATTTCACTCGGAGAAGCGACAACCTTTTCTTCAGAGGTCTGAGACAACATACAAGCTGAGGACTGAAAATGCCACGGACAGTATTGTTTATGAGGGATTATCTAGTCAGGCCTCCTGGCTAGAAAGATTGTGACCCCAATATGAGCACAGATACAGATCAGCTCCATGTAAGCTCCAAAATGATTCCTGGAAGGCAACGCATGCATACAAGGCCCCTTCACTCTGTCAATCCAATGTTTAATCACTTCCACAGAAATTTCTACTGGTCTGCCAGACGTGTTCTCTCATATTTTTTTTCTCTCTCCACCCAATTTCTCTGGTGGGGTTTTGAAGACTTAAGTTCCACTCTTTTTTTTCTCCCTTTCTTACAAGGCAAATCCTGGGAGAGGTTGATGTGAAGACCAGGCAGAGCAGGGATGTGAAGAATATAAACACATTTTTTTTTTTTTTATTGTCCAGAGGGAAAGGGAGGTGCAGGGGGTTGGGCGGTGGGGTCTGTAAAAGAGACGAGGACCTTATCACAGCCCAGCAGCTCTGTAATTCGCCGCCATGATAAAGTGGCAGCGCGGAAAACCTTACAAGGCTGGCACAATCCAAAGACGGATTAGGTTTTTCTGACATAAGCTTCCTGAAAAACTAATCAATCAGCCCATGCAGTATTATCAGAAGCGTGAGATTAAAGAGCTGCTCCTAATCCCCCCACTGTACATTTTATTACACTTCCCAGTGTTAGTTGCCTTTAAATATACAATAAATAAATAATAAAACCAAACCTAATTGAGCATGGGGAAGGGGAAAAGGGTTAAAGAGCCCTTAGAGATGGATTTTATGTAGAATTTGTGTTTTGTTATGAAGACAGGGATAAAACTGTTGTCCTTGCCAGAACCCTTTCTGCCTTTGAATAGAGCATCACTGTCTCACTCTACCACTGCAGAGAGGGGGGGGGGATGACACAACTAGGGGGAAAATCCTCTGGCAGAATTTTACAGCAATATTTGTGTCTAAAATATCTGATTGTTTGTAACAAAGACTTTTTTAAATATTCGCCTGACCAAATAAGTAAACACATGTTTTTAAATAAATTATTAACTGTAGAAAATTAAGGCTAAATCCTTTGGGAAATGACTCGTAATCCCTTAAATCACTGCACATCAAAGTTGCAGGGATGAACTCCAAGCCTGGCGTGATCTGGAGTACAAGACGCATTCAGCTTACTAGTAACCAGCTAAGCTTCGTCTCGCTAGTGCGTCACACCCATCTTTTAAGACGTTCTTGTCTTCCGCGCTCAGTTCAACCCTGGGTGGTGTTTTCGGTAACGGAAAAGGCAGCAATACATCTAACGCTGCGACTGATCCTCTTGGCATGGGCCATATAGATGCTGTGTTGTGACATAATATTACCAGAGGAGCTCTCACCCTGGCAAAAAGACATAAAGGCGTAATAGACTTTGTCAACGTCTCCTAACACTTAATCCCAAGCAGAGTTGAAAACCCCACTTTCCCTGCGTGCAGTCTCTGGTATAGACGTAGGGCAGGACAGGCTGAGATGGCAGAGAGCACGGCTCTCAAATATGTTTCATCTTCATCTACATTGTTCTGCTGTCATTGCACAGAGGATAACTGCAGCAGATGTCAGGGGGAAGAATGGATTCTCCCAGGATGGCTTTGACCCTCTTATTTGTCCCTGGGGCATGGCACAGATGCTGGGTCCAGGGTTACATTTTCACCGCTTGATTCATGTTCTAAGCGCTTTTTAATTGAATGTGCACGTGACGAGCGATGGGAAGAAAAGTGTGATTTTATCTGGGGGTCTTTGAGGATTTGGACCACTTTTTCAAACTCTGGATTTTTACTTAAAACAAGAAGCTTAAAAATTTCATATCAAGGGGTTTAAGGTCCTGCGTGCAATCCTCTATCACAGAATGCTTCTCGGGTTCAAAATCTGGCCTTGCGCTGATGGGCGTTATCCTTGTGCAGCTTTTCAGTGGTTCATACACTAACAAAAAAGAAATCTTATTCATACATCATGATGTATTGCAGCACTTATTCCATTCCTTTACTGAGGGTCAGATATTTGGGATTTTTTTGAACCTAAGAAGGTAGGGTAATATTGATAACGGCCACTACATCCCCAGTCAGACATTGGTGAATCTGTTGGGAGGGAAGCTACTGAGGCATACAAAGAGAGCCTCTCCAGGGAGGCAGTCTGTCTCTCTCTGGAGGCACAGCTCCCAGAAGGCACAGGGCTGATTACAACCGCAGCCAAAGCAGACAGCACTTTGCTGCTGCAGCTGCACAGTTGAAGGCTATCTTTAAAGAGGTCCTCTTTGAGGATGGCACAGATGTGAAGAACTTCTTCGATCCCATGGCATTTTCAGTGCAAGTTTGATCATGGCAAGAATCCATAAAGCAAGGATGAAAACGCTAATACCCTCGCTGTATTCAACTATCTATAGGGGACAACATCACGATATGATGGGGGTGGGGAAAGGGCAGGAAAGGCCTTTATACTCCCCAAAAGCTCATGAACTTTCTTCCGAGTGCTTGCTGCATTAAAACCTGAACTAGACTACAGAAAGATTACGTCTAGAAGCTTAACACAATCATTCTCTGGTAAATACTAAATAATTTTCTTTGGATTAACAGGGACATCACCGTTATCATCAAGCTTTTAAAATCCCTGGGTTTTTCAATTTCCATCTATTGTTCTCAGTTGTCTTGAAAGGGGAAAAAGTAATAATAAAAAAAGAACTCTGGCCCCAATTTGAGAGCAAAGACACTTAAAACAGGTTAGGGGTTCAACACAGACGTCTAATGATTCCAGTGATCACCAAAGGTGCACCTGAAGGGATGAAGAGGCAGGTTGCATTTTCAGATGAGCTGTGATTGAGAGAAGCAACACACCCAAGGACATAATACTGAATATAAACACTGAAAGAAAAGAATATTTAAACTTTGCAAACCAGCACAAAAATTAATAGCATATTTTATAAAATATCTTCAGTAGATTTTTTTTTTTACCTCGGTAATTCTGTGTCTCTATTTAGAATATTACCTAATTGTTCATTCTAACCTATTACCTTTTGCAACACTCTGCTTGTAATGTAAAATTTCCATAGCTGAGAAAGCTGATGGTCTTACAAAAAGCCACAATATCAAATAGAAATAATAAACTCAAATGCTTTTATGGTAATTAACTGCATATGATGCGCATTAAAGCAAAGCTGGAGTCTTTCCAGGATTACTAAATGCATTATGTTTGCATTATGTTATTCATTGTGTTTGTTTTTACCATATTTTTCAGTGGCTACAGAAAAGAAAGAAATGATGCCATTTCTAAGGGTATTAAATTATTTACTATTTTATGGATTTAAAAAAAAAAACACATGAAAAGTATTTCACTGAATAGTGTGCGAGCCCTGATAACATAAAACAATTAAGCTTATCCCTGTAAGACTGAATGAGGAGTTCTGCTCGGCAAATGAATTTGCTCCTGATGACTGTGCCAAATAAAATTTCATGCCAGGAAATTATTCAGTTTGGCACAATGTGGAGATAGACAAGTCTTGCACAGCTGCGTGATAAGGATCCACATAAAAGACAGGCCAACAAAACAAATATAAGCAAAAGAAGTTTAAACCATTACCTAGAGTGAAGAAATAATTATCTCGTAAGAGTCCTACAGCATAATAAAAATGCTTCATCTCTACTTTTTCTCAGTCGGAGACATGCTTCTGCATAATTAGCCTCTTTTCATTCACTCATCTCACTCCTCACCTGGTGCAGGAGGAAAAACAACAAGAATGTTTGCAGAGGACTCATCTTCAACGACTTGTCGACTTATTCAAGATGAGCGGGGATTAAATCCTCTCTGGAAGATTTGGAGAGGTGAAGACGCTCATGGCACTGAAACATCGCTATGATCACCTGCAAGAAAGAGAGAGGGGGAGAGAGAGAGAGAGAGAAAAGTGGAAATATTTACGTCGTTAAATCATTTAAAACGTCTCTTTTTAATTTGGAAATACATCAAAGATGGAGGCAGTGAATTATTCAAGAAATATACTAAACTTTTCCTTACCGTTTCGTAAAGGCAATACCTCACTTATTTCGGTAAGGCGGCTGGGATCATCCTCTCTCAGTCCACGTTCAGCAAAGAGACCTAAAATCCTCTCAAAACGTCTCTCAGGATGTCGAGGTACTTTCCCCCGAGCAGCTGGGACTCTTTGGCTCGTCTGTAGTAGTGAAGCGCCTACATTAAGCAGTTCAGATGTAACAACGCTCCTCTAAGTTTAGAATCCAGGCAAGGCGAAATAAACTGTGGACTATATTTTCCCTTACTCAATCCGGAGCAATGTTGGTCTTAAGTTGTCAGTATGCGCAGTAAAACACAGCCAAGCGTGCCCGTATCCCAGTGCCAGGACTGCAGTCAGACAGACAATAGTCAGCTCGCTGTCTTCGCTTTTAGGCTCTGCTTGATTTCAGTGCGCAAAATCCTCTTCTGCGCGTCTGGAGACTCCAAGGTCGGCGCGCATCCGTTCAGAGACTCAGACCTAAAGATGTACCTTAGAAGTCTTACTCTCTCCATCTAAGAGACAAGTAAAAGCTTGATGTCACCGTTGTCCGGTTTTGTTCATCATAGCGCGCACGTGTTTAACCCCTTAACGTTTAGATGCTTAATCGCAGAGAACAGTTATGCCGTGATTTTCGTTGGAAGTTTTGTGTGATGACTCGAATGCCTACATGTCCAGTTATATAAGAGTGCATGCAAGCCGTGTTTAGCAGAATGTATAGAAAAGCCTTTAAAATCGTTGCATGTATTAAACCCATCTTGCAAACGCAAGATGTGTGGACATTCCTGTTTGCATCGTGTAGCTAAAAGCACAGCAACCAGAGACACTTATTCTTCTGGAAACTCAGCTGATGCTGCAATCCTGACCACAAAGTGCAGGCAACAAAAGGTCAACCGCTGTGCAAGTACAGAGGGGTGATAAATGAAAACACACAACAAAAAGTTTCTTAGGCGTTGAGCCATCACATGATGCCAAAACATCTTTGGCACTGAATGTACACATCTCCAAAAACTCCACTGGAGGGATAAAACAACCTTTTTCTAAAAGATGTTTTAAAGATGGCGGTGGAGTGGAAAGGAGCGTTAGGTGTGTTTCGATCGGTCGATTTTAAAGTCCACAGCTTACACATTCCAGATCATTTTCATATCAATCTAACCGCTTGTTGACCCTCATCTGGAAGAGACCACTCCCACCAGAGTAGAAATCTTTCATTAGAGAATAAAAAGGTAATCGCTCATGATAACTTTGTATTGATTAACAGTGATTTTCTGTAAAAGCACAAATGGAACCAGACCGCAGAGCAAAATCCTTCAACTGTTAAATAGAGCTGCGGAGTGTCCTCCTCACTGCTGGGGCCCCGTGGCTGTGCAAGCAGATTTTCTACAGTGACTAGTACTGGTGTAGCGATTCTTTTGAATTTGGCGCCATCATGTGGTTAAAGCGAAAAATGTCGCTTTACAGAAAAGGCTGCAGCAGCAGAGTAGAGGTGAAATTAGTTTGTACTAAAAGCATCAGTTTGTATCTTTTCATTTCAACTAGCGAATATTTGAATTTATTTCAATTTCTATGTAAACATGAATGCGTGACAATTATTTTGGCAAGAGAAGGTTTGTGCTTGAGAAGTTAAAGTCCAAATATGAAGGTGAAAGAATGAAACCCAGTAAGAGCAGATCAGCACAATATGTTGCTGAGTAAGCCATCAAGGCAGTATCAGATCAGTGTGATTGTATCACCTTATATTACTTTCTTTTCTATCCCACAAACAGACTTTATGCATGCATACACACTCACACTATGTTTTAGTCATGCTATAGGCTAAATCTTATTTAGCCGTATACAAATGAGCTGGATTTTTGTCAAGAAAAATTCTTACATTAAAATGAAACATTGTACACTGAATACCTGGTGTCAGGTGTATTACAAATAATTAAATCATAGAGTTAAGTGACCTCTTCATATGACAACACATCCTTTTACTGGCTCTCATTGAAGGGAGAAACTGAAAGAGATACACCAAAGGAAAACAATTAAGAACAGTGACTAGACTGATTTAATACTGTTCCTATATCAAACTTTGCACTTTAGAGCCACCAGCATTTGATTTGAAATGTTTCAATACAGGCAATCCTCTCTTTTTCAGGAAAACAGTGTAAACAGTGCCCCCTCAATCTTTACTTCACATGTACCACAAATACTTTTAATGGTGTGCTGGGTGCGCACGTGCAGGTTTAACTGCCATGAGGTGGATCAAATGTCACTCTCCTGAACATTAAACTCATATCAGTTTTCCTGCTACCTTTCATAATACCTGGATTTCAGCCATCGGGACTCTAAAACTTCTAAAAGTTCCCTCATAAGAATTTGTAACTAATTAAGTCTTTCACTCAGTGGCAATGTTGCAACCACACTGTCTAATCAACAAGGGTGTAAAGCAGGTCAATATGTTTGAGTCAATGTTAAAAAGTTATCAACAAAATGATAACACACGAAAGGGCAAGCTTATACTTTAAATTCTGAGGTTAGTAAGGGAATCATTTTGAACAGACACCTGTTTATATTAGTAGCATTCACCTGTTAAATGAACATTTCCATTTCCATTTCCAGAGCTTTCAGCTTCCAGGCTCCTCTTCTGTGGAACCTGCTCCCAGTTTAGATTCAGGAGACAGACTCCCTCTCTAAGTTTGAGACCAGGCTTAAAACCCTCCTTTTTAAGTTTATGGTCAGGGCTGGTGACCCTAAATCCTCCCTTAGTTATGCTGCAATGGGTCTAGGCTGAGTGTTTCTTCTTCACTCACATTGTTTCATTCACTATGTGTTTGTACACCACTCTGCATTTAATCATTAGTTATTATTAATCCCTGGCTCTCTTCCACAACGTGTCTTTGTCCTAATCAGAGGATGGTGCTTTGGTAAAGAGGCAGCAAACCAACAGAAAACTTCAACTTGGAGGGTGTTTCAATGATTTGGCACCATGCCATCTAGGTGAACAGCAGAATCAACTTCACAGTTTTGTCAGTCAGCATGATATCAGCACAGCCTTTTTGTTTTTTCAGTTTGTTTGTTTGTTGATTGTTATGCATGTGTCTTATTTGCTAAAATGCCACATGGCATAATGTGGTCAAGGTCAGGAACTATAACATAGTCCCGTTTGTATGATGTTTTATTACGCTGTCACAATTGTTTATTGTTTTATGGTTGTTTATCTGTGAGCACGGAGAGTGTGTTGCGTGCCGAGGCTTTCTTGTCGCAATAGCATCTAGCCTTTTTAGATTTTCAAAAACAACAACCCTTTCATACATTAAACAGACTTTACTCTGCCGGCTCCTCAGTATAGCCATTGTATTTCCAATTATATAAAAGTACTCAGGTTACTGCTCAGTAAATCCACACATGCAAGGAAATGGATGTCATGTGTCTTGCATCCTGGATGCTCTATGCAGGTTCTATACTCACATAAAAAGTATTTCCAGTAGTAAAAATACATCTGGCACAGACAATGTCCCATTTTTTTGCTACTAGTGAGAAAGTGAATCTTTCCAACTTTGGTTCTTTTGTGAAAATGTCTCTGTCAGTCCATTCCCAGTGTCAAAGGGCCGGTGTTCTGTATCAGGGAGACAATTCCTCACCCTGTTTTCAGTAAACAAAAAGTCTTTGGATAAGAGAAAATATGTGAGACCACAGTGGCAGACTTCCCAACAGTTTACAAAAATATTCTAGTTCCAGTTACAATAGGGCTGGTAATTAATAGTCATTCAAGTTCAAGGAAGGTGAGGAGAGTAGTCACACCTCAAGAGTCCTTTACAAGTATAAATATCTGCTCTTCAAGTGTCAGTAATCTTGAAACTGCCAGGTTTCTACATTTTGTCTTCTAACCATGTCTGAAGGCTAAAACATATTTTTTCTTTAGAGCCACAGAGGACTATGGAATGAAAAGCCTGCTGTCTAAGTTTCAGTAGAGATAACAGATAATGCCACAAAAAATGTCATTTTATGAAAAACTGAAGATTTGTCTGCCAATGATGAGAGTTGATTTTTGTTTTTTGTTGCTTTTTTCTTGCACAGTAATTTTACACTTCACTTCAGTAGCTGCTAACTTGTAATTGTTTCAGCATGTCCTATTGCAAAAGAGTTGAAATGCAGTTCATGTGAAAGGTCAATGGCATCATTATTCAGACTTTAGGACAATAAGGCTTGTTCACTATAGTGTAAGTCAAACATTCCCACTGTTAAGTTGGCTGTTGTGCAGAGAAAATGTCTAAAGTGTTTTGACTGTCGATGGATGGATGGATGGATGGATGGATGGATGGATGGATGGATGGATAGGGTGCCATTGTTGTTTTTGCTGAATCTACAATCCTGATTAGTTAGTTACTTACAGAAATTTATTTTTTAAGACAAAGCGATGTTTACACAAAGGTAAAATTCCACATAACTGTTCTAGTATGTGTGGGTTTACGTGCCACCACTCTCACTTGTAGGTTATAGGTAAACTGGAATAAAGGGCAGGCTCTCATTATGTAGATAGTTTTCTGTTATTTAAAGGACATAAAGCACACACAAAGCAAATAAGGACCTTTGCTCTTATTGATAATCAGTATATGCTTTGCCACCATGACTTGCAACTCCTACTGACTGCTAGAGTTTGACATTTAACCCATTAGTGTTCAACAGTGAAATTTCATGGGTTAATTTAAAGTGACTAAAACGCTTGCTCGGCTGAACAAATACATAGAGGCCAGACTGAAGTAGTTTTTTTTTTACAACATCCTTTTTGTTACTTATCATTCAAACAAACACACGTGCAAACAGACACACGCATGCATGCAAACAGTCAGGAACAAAGTATTGTTCAGTTTTTCTTGTTCACTCAGGAATAAAGTAAACCAGGCTTTATGGACCACAAAGAACACAACCACAATTATTTGATGTCTTATTATAGCTGGATAATCATGGGAGCCTGCACCTCTTGTAACTAACAACTAAAATGAGATACAATACAAAAAAGGCTGCAAATCGAACTGCAGTTATATCACGAGCAAGGATTTCACTGGATTTAACAGATTTGGATTTAAGGCGTGCAATGAAATGAATACCACATATAGTCTTGTATTTTTATCAGTCAAACACAAATACATGATTTTGTCACATAGTGCAGCCACATGTTGTGTCAGTACCCACTGGAAATTTTGTGTTTAAACCCCTAACAAGAAAACAAAAACACACAGAAACAGTTTTCAGTCATTTATGATCGAACAAACAATAATCATTTTTAAAAAGCCTTCAGACTAAATGACTGCAACTTAAGACTTCTCCAAACAGAGTGCCTACATTCTGGATTGGAACTGGTTTCTACTAAAGAAATTGTTTATTTAAAGATGGTCAACAATGTGGCCAGTAGGGAACCCCTCCAACCCACTAAGACCTCCTCCCTTTCCCTTTAACCCCTTCTTTTTTATGTAATAGCAAAATCACTGCACTGAAAGTTATAAAAGTATGTGTGTAACCCTGAATCGATTCATAATTTCCTTGTGAAAACTGCAGACACAGCGAGCCACAGCACATTCCAGGACATGGGAATTTGTTGCTGTGACTTTATTCCAGATATTGTACTCTTGTTCTCTATAAATCTTACCGCTCTAACAAATATTTAGCACTATGGTTATTCAAATCAGCCTCAAGCAAGTTGTAACCAAAGGTAAAATTCCTTACATATGTTGTTTCTTTGATAATATCAAACCCCTCCAAGAAGAAGGGTGTTGGTGTCCTATTACACTTGGCTTCGCACGCCATCGGTCTCATTACAATGGCTCAAGGTTTGCGTGTCTGGAGGAGAGAGAAAAAAAGAACTCCCTTTAGCCCACATGTGCCGGGGGTTTTTTTTTTCAGGGGGAGGGGAGAAGGAACATCCAAAGTAAATAAAGATGACTCCGCTCAAACTGGCAGGCAGTACATGCAGTGTGTGACTTTCTGATCTTACTAAAGTTTGGCGGTGGATACGATTATAATTGCTGTTAAATGCACCTGC